CGCTCCCCAGGTTGCCTCCATACTAACACCCTACCATCGGAGAGTATCAGGTTGAACCGCGTTACGTCGCAAAAGAAACACTTTCGCCACTCATGTAATGCCTTGATTAACAGAAAATGAGAGGAATAATTAGCTTATTCGCCTTTTAAATGAAGAGTTAAGCTAAAGACATGTAGCGCGAATATATTCGGTAAGCGGCAGCACTATAAATTACCTAAAACAGCTTTTTCGCCTGAACGGTCATGTCCACTATGTGCACAGAGGTAGGGCCCCTAGCAAAATTGAGGGATGAGCAGCATGAACTCTATTAAGAGAGGTTCACAATAACCGAACTTCGTGCTCTAGTGTTTTGAATGATAGCCTAAGAAGGCACACTGGTATAATGGCGTTTGACAGGACCGTTAGAAGCGCGAGCAAAATGTGTTCACCTTTTGCCAAACCATAGAAGACTTTGTGTCGTATGAGCTACCGATAAATTGGCATGGAATGACGAATATCGGAATTGTTTTTTTTTTTTTTTTTGTGACGAAACGCGGTTCAACCTGATACACTCCGATGTTAGTATGGAGGCAACCTGCGGAGCAATTTGAAGAAGACAACATGGCTTCTCAGGAAACCTTTGAAGGAGGAGGGTTTAATGTTTGGGCCGGAGGGATGTACAACGATAGATCCGACTTATACATTTCACGGGGTACTGTTAACGCCGTAATTTATCGGAATCACATAATAAATGACATTGTTATTCCATAAGCAGAACATACACCGACTTTTCCGCGCACTTGCCGCTTCTCGAGCGTGATAGGACATTTCCTTGCGAGTGCGCATATCCGTAAAAAAAAAAAAAAAATATTGGGCAGCATTTCATCATGGTTGACGATAATGCGAGACCACACAAAGCAAGAATTGTTTAGGAGCTTTAGGGGGACCATAACATACAACAGTTACACCTGCCTCCAAAATCTCCTGATCTTGTGTGTTCTCAGCTTAAGTTACTGGTACGATCGCGCGAAAATGCTCCCAAACGCTGGATGAGTTCGCACTTGCCATAGAAGAAGAGTGGCAAAATATCCGTCAGGAATTCATTAATCTCTTGGTTGACAACATGCCACGGCCGGCCATGCCAAGAGGTTGTGAATGAGAGGAGAGGGCTTACTAACTATAACTTTGATTATCTGCCGTTCTTTATTAATTTTTTTAGTTTACGTTATGGTTGTTTATTACTTAACTTTTAGGTCACTTTGTTGTTGGTATTGAATCTTAGTTTGATTAGTTTTTTAGTTCACTTATTTTGATACGTTTTACCTAGGTATCTACAACTAAACTGAAAGTACTTCTTAACGCATTTAAAGTAGGGGAATTTCAGATGTTACCGGTTGACAACGGCGCGCGACGTTGTATGATTTGAATAAACATTTTCAAATAAATAACACGTGTCGATTCATTTTGTTATTTCTAGCTGTCAGTGGTCTTGATAAGTTATTATTACTTTCTGGTAAATTATAAGGAAAAAAAAGGCATTCACAACATTGTCAGTCCTTGTTCTACGACGTTATCCTAAATATAACGTAAAAAACCTATAGGAACACTTTTTGTGTTTTGTTTTAAATCAACTCAAAGAAGCATTAACGTTGTTCATATAATTTTTTATTTGGCAGATAATGTAATTTACCATCCTTAACTTTATTTTTTGATACTGCTACGATTGGTGGAAGAATTTTTAATTGAAATACCTTTAAACATGAAGCTACAAAAAAAAATTAGCAGGTCATAAAAGTTCAGGTTTCCTCTCACCACAACGAAATCGGTTCCGAATATTTAAATTTTATCAGTGGTATAAATAATTATTAGCACGCCACTGTATAGCATATCATTGAGGTATTCGATATTTTTTATATAACAATTGCTAATAAAATTGATTTAATGAAAAATAATAATTTCTCTTTGCACGCCACTGTACAGCATATCATTGAGGTATTCGATATTTTTTATTAATTGTAAATACGCTGGCTGAAAGGTATAACAATTGCTAAAAAAATTCACCGGTAAGAACGATTCAGGATGGTTTAGAACGGAAAAATCGAAAAAATTAATATGGTTATGTTAAATAAACGATATTTTAAAACCAAAGGCAAATATCATATTTTTGAGAAATTGGTTTCTTAATAATATGTCAATGATTAAAGTGAACTAAACAAATGAAACTTCAGATGATTATTTTAAAATTATGCACCTTTAAAAGTAAAAATCGGTGAGCCATTAATAAATTATTCCGAAAATAGGCGATTATTAGTACGCTACTGGACACCACATTATTTAAGTATTTTTTTTTTCATTAAAAATAAACCAGGATATCGTGGGGTATATCAAACAGCAACATAAGATGCAAGATTTATTGTACAGGATGGTTTAGGTGCTTAAAAGTTGGAAAAAGTGGAAGTTATGAAAAAAGTCGATATTTTTAAAACTAAGGCAGGATTAAAAAATTTGTGAGATTACTTTTTTTGCAGAAGATCATTGATTAAAACGCCGCATAGAAATAAAATTTATAAAATTATCTGAGAAAGTTACACACATTTAAAATTGGGATGAAAATCATGAACTCTTTTAACACCCTGTATTAAAAAAAAAGTAGACATTTAAAAAAAATTCTAAATAGCAATTTTTTTCACAAAAAGTCAATCTGTCAGCCCGTGAAAACCGCAGGTCGATATCTATTCTGGTTCCAAAAATATCGATCTTGAAAGTTAGGCGATATTTACCTTGTTCGAAAGCAATTGTCCAGCAGTTTATATGCACACATGGAATTCGATAATGAACATGAAAAACAATCAAAAATATTATCAAAATACTTACATTGATAGAAAACTAATTGAAGCCTAGATATATGTATAGATTTTGCAAGCCAAGGAAATTTAATTCGAAGGGAAATGTAGGAGAAGTTAAACCACTACAACAACCAACAACCAACGAATCTTTGTGCAATTAAATCGGGAAAAGTAGAGACCTATTATAACACTCGATAATAATTTATGAATCTATATACCAACCATGTTGAAATTAACAAATACTGAGAGAGCAGAGGATACAAATGAGAAGATCGCTAGAGCAATACCTGTCATGGAAAAAAAAAGAAGCACAAGTTTTAACAAATTAAATAATTGATACAAAACTAAACATTCAGGAAGAAACTGACAGTGTGGATAGAGACGAAAATGGGAACCCAGAAAGAGGCAGATCGAGCACAAAAATACTAAATGTAAACCCAAGTAAGACCTCAGAAATAAAAAAAAGAAAATGTTCAAATTGGCAGAAACAATGGCGGTGAAATCTGAAAACAAATTCAGGTTGAGAACGATCAGCATGATATTTGAAAAACGTCAGACCAACAAAGACACATCTATAAGACACGAAGGAAATTAGAAAATACCTAAGAGCGAAACTTATACACAAAACTATAGAGGAAAACAGAAGGTGTGTAGAGCTGGGCACAGGCAAGCTGAAAATACTTCAAAGAAGAATCCAGCAGAATCCTGGAGAATTTCTACAGAGAACTAAATATACATGTTCATAGCAGTTGGCGCCTGTGAACCGCAAAAATCATAAACCTGGGTTCCAAAATGAAGAATAATAAAGCACCTGGTTAAACAAGTTTTGGTCTAGAATATGGTCTGTCGCATTGTGAACACTAGGAATGATATCTTTGCATAGCGTTTGAAACGCCATTGAAAAATATAGAGAGGTTCACCTTAGCAACTATTCCAAAGAATGTGCATTGAGAAGAAATTTGAGCTAACATTGGAGCTTGCATCATTTCCTTTGTCCCTTTTCTTGGAAGAAGGAAAGCACGATATCACAGTTTCGCACAATTTCCTGAAAGTGTGAAGCTAGTTAACAACAAAATCTCGGACTACATGGAAGAAGAAACCTTGAAAAAAATCTCATGGAATCAACAACAAAAAGCAAATTCAAATGTTGCTTATTTGCAACCAATGAAGAACGCCGCACGGTATCAGGCTTTTAGGAAGAACCATCACCAAGTTCAAAAATGATAAAAAAATCCAAAAGACCAGAGGTAAAACAAACGGTCTTGCGTGGCTTGCGTCAGTTACAATGATACAGGAACCAGAATTTGAACATTATTGGAAATCATTTCATGCAATTGTAAAAAAAGATGAGGTGACAGGGAAGCTGGATTGCACCATTACTTATACTCAACATGTTCAGTGATTAGTCAGCGGCTTTGTTGAAAACAGATGAAAATCTGGTCTAGGCCAATCAAAACTGTTCTACCTTATGTATTCCACTTGTTGGAACAATGCCGCATTCTAATCACTCAACATGTTGAGTGCTGGTGATCGCGAACATTGAGGATCAAAGCTATGATAAAGACAAAAGACCTTCACTGATAATGTAAAAGTAGAAAAACCCGATAATATATGTAATAGCGAAACTAAAACATCTGTGGATTAAGGCCACCAAACCATCATCCCATTGATATTTGCCCTGCGCGTTTGTATATCTTGGTTACAATTCCATGGTGTAATTATTGCCATTACTCATCTTTCTCCATGATCTAAGGATAACATTCCTTACCCTGAATTGTCTGAGTCTTGACAAAATGGTTTCACCATAAAATATGTCTATAGAAATCAAAAGGTGCCAATTATAGTAGTTGAAACTTTCGGTATTTGGGCTTGGCATGTTCGCCGATAATCATTTCTCAGGACGTCATTTGACCTCTTGAACGCATAGGCGCACTAACTCTTGTCTTACATCACATTTTACAAGCGCCTTCCATATTATCTCAAATATGACAAAGCATTTTACCAAAGTCTTTATTAATTTTGTAGTTGCACACAACCAAAATGATCAATTTCACGGGGTCATTGCGACTGTATTTAATCATTGCATTAATGGAAAGGATTGAGGATAGGATAAATTAATGAGAATAAAGAGTTAGCATGCCTCCTTAAAACCATACAAAATAATAATATTATTACCTTTGATTGGGACAGTCCTTGTCTATACATATCTCTAAGTATCTGGTCAATGGTAGGTACTCTAATGACAGGGATTTAGTGATGGAGCAGCAAGATTCTATGGCACAGTTTTCATTAAAAATTGTGGACTAATCATAGAATTGTGGGGATATGGGGTTTCTCTTCACTTTTCAGCTTGTGAGACGAGGCTCTTTTCCTTGACTTTTTAGGTTTTCCCTTTATTTGCCTAAAAGTAAAACAGTCTTTAGATAAATCTGAGGCGTTCTAGAGAATAAAAAACTAGAGAAAAATGAACGTCTAAAAATCATTGATCTTAGAAACAAAATAAGATAATGGCATCAATGTATCACTCTCTAGACACAAGGGGGCAATACCGTATCAAATCCGATTTCCATGGTTCTTGGGCATTAGTAACCTTCCAAGAATTGTTTCTAACCAACTTGAGGGGGCTTACGAAAATATAATCGGCTCAGTTGACAAAAGAAATTATAAACCTAGCCTGGGTATAGAAGAGAAAAAGTGATTCCAGTTTTTAAAAGCATGACGTTTTTTTAAGATGTTAAATAATAAATTGTGGTGGTTTTGTTAAACCCCTCGGAACATATTATTTTGTTTGTAAAATTGAAATATTCTGTGTTATTTTAATGAAAAATTCTTGATCCATAAATTATATAAACTTGGTTATAAATAACTAAAGTATTAAATCATTTTCGTTCATCAAAACAGTAAAAGAGAAAAATATACAACAGTGATTATTGATGATTTTTGTCTAGAAAAAATTTAGATCGCGTTTTCATTAATTTACACAAGGGATTTAATTCTCAAATGAATAGGCACGATTGATTTATATGCGATTATCAGAGCACAAGTATTTTTGGGGTTCAATCAAACACTTATGATATTTGTTTAGCTTATTCATCAGCCTTCGACCTTTGTGACTTTTATCTAAAGCCGATTATTAATCCAGAAATCGTTTTTGCGTTCAAAATTGCGTATATGACGTGTTCAACAATTATTTCCATAATCAATACTGACGATTTTTATCATAAACCATATACATTTTTCATCACTTATAGTTCGCCTTATGAGTCTAGCACTACGACGTCTGAAGGGCAAGGGGGAATAACGTCATTCATTTCGAGCTTTATGCTGCCTGTCATAGGCGTGGGCGCAGCGTTTTCAAATATTACAATTGCAATTTTTTTATCCGCATTCTTTCCATAGTGCTAGACTCGTAAGGCGAACATTAGTTATCAGATTTAACTAGAAGTCTCTAATGGTACTAAAGTACGTATGTAAACCACTTTCTACTATAGATGAATATTTTATAGTAGAAGCGATAAATTTATTAACCAGATAGAGAAAGGTATTTCCAACCATATCTATGGCTTGAAAATAAACTTTACATTTGATGGTTCTATTGTGTGGCTTTGAAACCACTAAAATGTATCCATTAACAACAGTTGTAACACCTTTAAGCGCTGCGGGAGTCACAACACAGGCCCTTATAGAAAGTGAAACAACCACCCATAAATTCTTAGCTTTTTTTAATGCTACATTAGCTTTGCTTTCGTCCCAGCGAACAGATTACCTGCTTACAAGCCATCTTTTTGGTTCTGGTGATTCTTGGAAGGTCACCAATAACTACACAATTTTTGTATTTGATAGGCTACAGCTCTATCTGATAATAATACACATTATTTATATTTCATGAGCAATTCGATTACTGGAGTTTAATTAGTTGGAGATTATATTCGTTTCAGTAGAAACTCTGATCTCGAGTCCCATTAGATTTAAAATATATCAAAGTGATGGTCCTTCGAGCCATACAAGTAATTTAATGCTCTTCTCGAAGTTTATAACGAATAAACCGGAACTAATTAAAAATAAACCAACGCAACGATATAAAATTATACCATCAGAACCAGCACCTCGCCGTCATAATTTAAGTCTACGGTGTTCCTACAAAACATTTTTGCAGTGCCGTCCGAGTGGTACCCACGTTATCTCCGACGGTAATAAAACAAGCTTAAGAAACAGAAAGTAATCAGTTTAAGTTTCTTTCCAGGCCATAAACATGACATTGATGGCGCGGTAATCTTTATCAATTACGGCGCAGAAAACCATCGTTTTCAGTTCACTGGCGGCGATTTGACCGTGTCCAAACGATTTGTTCAATAATAATTTTTCTTGATTGCCCGGCGTATTTTAAATCGGTTGTCGTTGGTCGGTTTTCGAATATTTTTGAAGCTCCGACAGTTTCATGGCCCGTATTCCAAATTGAACGTTGTAATTAAATGTACCCGGGTGCCGTCAGTCAGTCGCGTGTGTTTTGGTTGTTGGTTTTAACTTTTTTTTTGTTGTTTTGTTCGAGGATGTTCTCCCTTGATACTGCTGGGAAGTGACGCAAGGGTGGTGGATTCAGTGAGCATGTCAGGTTCTGCCCTCGGTTCTCCCACAATCGAAAAAATTTTGAAAACGAGCTGAAAAAGCGCAATTATTGTACATTATAGATAGTAGATTTTACCTTTGACTGTGCGAAGTTTGTTAAGTAAGCTTTCGACCCAGCTGTCAAATATACGCAGCAGTAACAAACGAATCAAAATACACATAGGAAAATTCATTTCACATTGCTTACCAGTCTCATACAGCAGAGTTACTATGTATAGGCTTGAATTTGCAGTGTCCAAGAGAATGCACTATTGCAAAATTCAAGGATTTTGTAAGAAAAAATAATGCTTCAGATGAATATCAATTGCAAGAAATACGAATACATATCACATGCAAACTATCAGCTTTGAGACTTTTTGGTTCCTGTTTACCAACAATATAAGAAGAATATAAGAAAAGAAAACAAATTTTTGGATTAAAAGAAGCAAAGAAAAACAAGCGAAAAGAAGAAAAGATAAATAACTAAAAAAAAAAACAATAAATGGATCACGTACGAGAGTCTATGTTCATAGTAGGTACTGAGATCCACACGGAACTAAATGAAAGCGAGGTTGTATTCCTTTTCAAGAAAAAAGACAGAAGTATGTCGGGGAACTTAGCAACACATTCGAAGCAAGATCGCTAAAACATGTTCCTGCTTGTGCTGCTATAGTCCTGTTTTATGCTGATTCAAATCTGACCCCGGCAACAAGTACTATTTTCGAGGGAACACATTGGAAGCAGGATCGCTCAAACATGTTTCTGCTTGTGTTGCTATGGTCCTGCCTCATTCTGCTTCAATTTTCAATATTTTTGAGATACATTCCAAGAGTCTAGTCGTAGGAATAGGAAGAGCTCGAGACACCGTTGCCAAATATATCGTAATGAGTGCTTGTCTCTGTATGTTGGTATTTTAGACGAAAAGAGCTAATCCAAATTAACCCGTCCCTCTGTAATGAATGCCAGCCTCTGTATCTTGGCATTTAAGATGATGAAAAGAGCTAATCCAAGGATTGAATTGAAACTAACCCGTCCTGGGATAGGTAAACTCTCTGCGCTTCCGTAGAGTTTTTATTTCTATTTTTTTCTTAAAGAGTATTAGGAGGTCGGGTTAGTTTTAATTCAACCCTTGGATGAGCTCTTTTCGTTTAAAATACCACCTTACAAAGACTAGCAAACATTACGAAAACGGGGTAGTTTGGATTAGCTAGCTCTTTTCGTTTAAATTACCAACATACAAAGAATAGCATTCATTACAAGGACGGGTTAGTTTGGAATAGCTCTTTTCGTCTAAATTATCAGCATACAAAGACTAGCAATTAGTATGAGGACGGGTTAGTTTGGGTTAGCTTGGATTAGCTCTTTTTGTTTAAAATATTAACTTACAAAGACTAGCATTCATTATAAAAGGACGGGTTCGTATGAATTAGCACTTTTCGTCTAAAATACCTACATGCAAAGACTAGCATTCATCAAAAAAGGATGGTTTAGTTTGAATTAGCTCTTTTCTTTCTAAAATACCAACATACAAAGACTAGCAATTAGTATGAGGACGAGTTACTTTATGATAGCTCTTTTCGTCTAAAATATCAACATACAAAAACTAGAAATTAGTATGAGGATGGGTTAGCTTGACTTAGCTCTTCTCGTCTAAAATACCAACATACATAGACTAGCATTCATTACAAAAGTACGGGTTAATTTGAGTTAAATTGGATTAGAACTTTTCGTCGAAAATACCAACATAAAGTTTGTTTTTTATTTAAAGATAATTCCCCAAGTCAAAAATTTAGTAACTATGTTGGCAACACAAGCCTTTTCTACATAAAAAATTTGAAAGCATTGACAATTTTACATTGTATTGCCAACATAATGTCATTTTGACTTTTATCTTAAAAAAAAACAGACTTTACAGAGACAAGCACTCATCACGATCTATTTGGCAACGGTGTCTCGAGCTCGCTGTTTTTTCTACGACTAGACTCTTGTGATGCTATCAATGTGTATCTCATAAATATTAGGTGTTGCTGGGGTGATTGAAGCATTTTGAGGCAGGGCCATAGCAACGCAAGCAGGAACATTTTGGAGCGATCCTGCTTCCAATGCGTTGCCAAGCCAAGGGTGAAGTTACAAACCATAATGGAAATCCCTGTATCTGGAGAATAGAAAGTGTTGCCGAGGTGTGATTTAAAGCAGGATGAGGCAGGACCATGGATCACAAGCAGGAACCTGTTTCAGAGATCCTGCTTCCAATGTGTTGCCAAGGGTGAAGTTAGCAACCAAAATGGAAATCCATATACAGTGCGGCCAGGGACGCAAGTATGGGGGGGAGGACTTCCCCCCCAACCAGTCCAACCAGTTGGGATATCGGGTACAAGTTGGGAGAATCAGAACACTTGCATGAAAACATAAATATTCACGTGGAAAATAAAAAAATATTCCAAAAATGATAAAAAAAAGAAAAACAGCTAGAAAAAAACGCTAGTTGGCAGGGGCGTAGTCCCCCCCGTGACTACGCCCCTGTTAACTAGCTGGTTGAAACCCTCCCACTTGATCAGAAAGTATAATTAAAAAACCACTTCTGGAAATTATTAGAAATTAAAAATTATAATATAAATACTAACAATCTCAAGAAAATACATGATTTTGACTTTTATTTTTTTAGTAAACATGTTAATTTTATCAGTAACGTTCCCAAAGGGGGCCGAGAGCCCCGTGCGTCCCCCAAATTGACTCATTTACAACGAATTTTCCTACCTATATAAAATGTGAAGTCACGAAGGACATACCTATGTA